TATATACACACACATACACAAATCATATATACATAACCTTGATCCCATATATGATCGATTATACACTGGTACACTCACGCCTCTGTGACTACGTCTTATTTACGCCGCTGCCCTCTTCTCTATAGCTTTGTCTCCATCGCCTGGATCATCACTTTGTCTCCCTCTTAGGTATGTCCTTTATTTCACATCTGTCTCTCCTTCTCGATTTCTCTGTCTCCTTCTCATTGTCTCCCTCTCGATTTCCCTATCTCTTTCTCTCTGTCTCTGTTTACACACACACACACACACACACATATATATATATATATACACAGAAATCATATAAGAAATGTTGAAAATTAGGGCATTGTTATTGAAATGTGATTGAAATTAAAAATTAGGGCAATGCTTGGGGTGAGATGTTATTGAAATTAGGCCAATGTTATTGAATTTGGGTGTACAAATTACAAAAATGCTGAAATTAGGCCAATCATTTACTATGACGACCCTGACCTCCAAACTAGGACATTATATAATTTAAATGAGTTTGGTTGCATGATTATGTGCTTGATTGTGTGATTACATATTTAATTCTATAATTATCTGTTGATATATGGAATATCTGTTTAAATCGACAACTTAGAGTCGGAAATTGGGAGCCTAAATGGCTTCATGAACTGAAATTGACTAGCCCAACAGGCTAATAAGAATATTTAAAATTTTATGGCAACTTTAATTGATTGTTGATTTGGATCAAAATAATTAGAATAAACTGATTGAATTAGTTAGAATTAAGCCTAATTAATTAATCCTAACCGTATTTGATTAGGCTAACTTAATCACATCCTATATAAGACCCAAGTTAAGCTTATGAGCCCATTTTATTACACACTCAGCTGAGAATTGAGAGAAAGGAGAAGAGGGTTCAACATTTAGAGAGAGATAGAGGAGAATTGTAGAGAATTAGTGGGAGGTTCAAAGATTGGAGCCATAATACACTTGAATTCAACACTAGGTATGGCATTCATCACTAATTCATGTAGTTATGGCATATAGCAGTTGAATTCCTCTCATTTTTAAACTCATTGGCATGTTATTAAAGAAAAGAAGCTATGAATATCATAAAAATGGAAGAACGGAGTTGAATTGCTTACATGCATGCATATTTTGAGTTAAGCTCCATGAAATTCATACATGCATGGCATAATTATACCTCGTTTTGGAGAATCCTTCATGTTTTCATGCTTCTCATGTCACTTGATCATATTTTGAACATGTTTTGGAGAAATGTACACTCAAATTGAGTTAAACTTATTTTATAAATTGAGGTTGGAGTCATTGGTTAGGAAATTACCATGATTTTGAATAAATGGGTTCCAATTGGAAGTGTTTTCATGTTATATAGTGACTCTCCATGTTTTTATACCAAAAACACAAGATTTGAAGCTTTGAGTACCATGTTTGAACTTCAAACACAGTTCTGGAAATTCCAGAATTCGTGCTGTCCGCTCGATCAAGGGAGTCCACGCTCGAGCGTGGAATTTAGGCTCCCAGAAGTTTCTGAAATTTTATAGTCCGCTCGAGTGACTAAAGTGGCCCTCGAGCGAGGACCTTTTTTTTCTCAGTCTTCCGCTCGAGCGACCATCAAGCAGGAATTTCATGTATCCAGTACTTTTACAGACCGCTCGAGCTGCAAAAGTTACGCTCGAGCGACCATTTTTGTTTTTGAACCCCCGCTCGAGCGTAGGAAGTTGCGCTCGAGCGAAGACCCTGTTTTCAGCGAAATTTTACCAACTCTTTTAAGTGCATATTTGTATCCTTATGCCACTCCAAGCATTCTTAGGCACCATTTGGACTATGATAATCATACAACAAGTTAGAGACGCATAAGAGAATTGAATTAAAATGAAATGGAGTTTCATTTGTACTTTGTTATGTGCTTCGTTTAGGTGGACGTCCGAGGCTTAGTGTCACCGCAAACCACTGTGAGTAATAACCTTATAAAATATGTTCAAATTATCTTTACTTTCAAAATTGTTATTGCTATCAAAATGGATATGTGATTGATTGAATGAATTCTTAAAATGATTTGATAATTGATAACATGGCTTATTGAAATGTTATGCCCTCTAATGAATGAAGTTCTATTTTGAAACGATATTGTGGCATCCATTGAATATAGGCCCTTGCCTGGGGGTAACAATGCCATGGCTAGGCCCTTGCCTGGGGGTAATAATACCATGGCTAGGCCCTTGCCTGGGGGTAATAGTACCATGGCTAGGCCCTTGCTTGGGGGTAACAAAACCATGGCTAGGCCCTTGCTTGGGGGTAACAATACCATGGCTAGTATGATACGTTATCATTGAAATAATATTTGTCACTTCATGGATATACCACATATAATGTTACGAATGGCTTTTGTCACTGCAAGGAGATGCTATTATTGCTAATCAAAATGCCTTGTTATGAATTTGATCTAATGTGGTGAATATCTTCCTTTGAAAATGATTTAAGATTCATTTCGAAATTGTAAGACATGTTTTTGTATTATTGTCGAACTTTATTATGTTATTATTCATTGGGCTCTAGCTCACTATTTATTTGTATATGTAATTGTAGGTGGACAAATTGAACTTCAAAGTTAGATAGCCTCGAGTCTACCCGGGTCAGCCTTTTGTGGAGCTTTCAAGTGAAGTAATTAGGCTTGCGCGGAGCCATGCTTGTCGAACCCCTTTTGTGTGGTTTAATGGTTTTGTATTTGTACATAGTTGGGGTTGCATTTTTGTAAGATATGAATTTGTACTTATGTTGAGTGTAACTTGAAACAAAACCTTGCTTAACATATTTGCTCTCCTCATATATGCACAACTCAATGGATGAATTCTATAACATTTTAGACTTCCGCTAAGCCCCGTACTTTATATTATTTGTTTATTTGTATGGAGGCCGTAGGTAATCTATGATTACTGGCCGGTCATGACGCTAAACCTATAGGGGCGGGTTTGGGTCGTGACATTTACCATATGCTGTGAATTATAAATAAATAAATTACTTTAAAATAGTTTAATTTGCCCAAAATTATGGGCATATCATTTACCATATGTTGTACAAGAAAATCTAAAATAATTTAACAATAATGAAATTCATAATTAAACTTCTATCAGTCTGAGAACTAGTAAATAATAGGCTGAAAAAGTGTGTGTGCGACTGTATCTGTTCATGTGTGACTGTATCTATTAAAATGTGTGTGTATATATAAATTGATCTGTCTATTAATCATGTTATGCTCTATCTAAAAGATGGTTGGGTAATAAAACCATGAAACTTATTTGTGTGTCGCAACAATGCAAGGCTTTCAACTTATGAGATTTTAGCTCGATTCATTATTTCAAACAACTGTATTTTTTAGCTCGATTGACTAACCCAGACCCTATATCTCAAATTACTTTAATACTGGTCTATAGTACATTAGTCCTTTCATAATACTAGGAGAACAAAGTGTAATCCCAACAAGGTAAATTTTCTCTTACATATTGATTACTGAATGAATGAAGAGCAAACGGTGTCATGTTACCTTTGCCAGTTTAATTTCATCTGAACGCTTAGTTCTGCTACATGGACATCTAGTTCTGCTATGGCAATGCCAGTTCCATTATGAACACCTACATTAACAGTTTTGTTGCTTTCCTCAATTTTGAGATTCCATGCCACACATCTTGTAACCATGCTGGATGGTGCTACCACCATTTCGTTAGATTATTAGTTTTATTACAGTTAGAATGTGTTAGAGGATTCCTCTCCGTTCTTATTCCGTCTACATGGCTTGCGAATAGAAGATTGAATTTCTTGAATGATAAGAAGTGTCAACCTTTCCAATCAGCTAGACATTTGATAGCTTTTTATCTAGTTTCTTAATATTATTAATGCTTTGCCACCTTTATATGTATGATTAAACTTATATTTAGCAGTTTATGTTCTAACTTTTTGAAGTCAACAAAGTTCCTCCTCAATTAACCTTATGTTAGAATAAGATAAATAGGTTATTGTTTCCCTGGCTAGTTCTTCATACATTTGTTCTCACAAAACTGTTCAAATTTTAGTGAAATTGTTTTCACCAACGGTTTCTCCTTTGCAACCCACATTCCCTCATATCTGTACCCTTTTCTTAATACATCAAGCAAACAAGACCATTTGAATACTTAAGGCTTACTTCCTTGGGTGTCATTGGTGCTATATATTTGTGTGTGTGTTGTCATGACTATTCCTGTTGTTTTTTATATATTCGTGTCAAACATTAGATTTAAACGTGGATATGTTTATTTGAAGTTGATGTATGTACTAAATTTGAAAGAAAAATCAGTTTAAAAGAACAATAATTAACTACTATTGACAATGTTAGTCATGGGTAGCTGGTTATATTGAGAAGCTGTTTGCAGCCAATGTTGTAAATTTTGGTTTTACTGCCTCAATCTCACGGGTACCCATGAGGAATTTTTTGTGAATAAAAAACATGTCATGCACACACGCTGTTGAGAGCATAAAAGTAATTTGATTCTTTTGATATATCGTTCTATTATTGACCATATGGTTTCACTAGTAGTAGTGCTCTACTAGTTATGTTGTCTAGTGGTTCAAAATTAGGGATCATTTCTTAAATTAATTTCAATAATTACGCATTTCATGGTATCGTTTCATTTGGTCCCACCCTAAAAGAGATTTATGTAACAAGCCAAACAGTGAATGAAAAAACAACATAATCTATGTCAACTTGAAATGGGTGTTCTCATTTGTTCCTCTGTTAATCTTTGCTTAAGTTGTAGGTGACAAAAAATGGACAAGAGTTGGATGACGATAAATAATAGGTTGACAAGTAAAGAGTATCAACAGGGGTGAAGTCATTCCTCGATTTTGCTACAACAAATTTAGGCGTAGAGAATGAAATTAGGTGTCCGTGTGTCGATTGCATTAATGGCACAAAATATAATAGACAAGTTGTGTGGATGCACTTGATCCGAAGAGGAATGGCATCTTCATATATAACTTGGGTGCACCACGGGGAACATGTTCTCGTGTCTCATCCTAGTGTATCAAATGACCAATGTGGAGGTAGTGGCGAATGTATGCCAGATATCGATGATCTGCTCATGGGTGAATTGCCTATTATGTTGGAAGAAATTTACGTGAGTGGTCTTATGGATGATCATACCGACGAGGAACCTAATGGTTTGGAGAGGGACGATTTGCATAAGTTCATTAGGTTATTCGAAGATACACAACGCAAAGTTTACCTGACATGTGAAAAGTTCTCTATGTTATCATTCGTCATTAAGATGCTTCAGGTGAACAACAAATGGAGCAACAAGTCATTCGATATGGTTATGCAGGTATTCAAGGACATTCTACCAGAATGTGATCAAACTGTTCCATGGACACTCTATGATGCTAAGAAGTTTTTACGTGACTTGGGTTTGGGATATGAAACAATTCATTCGTGCAAGAATGATTGTGCACTATTTTGGAAGGATAGTGCAAATTTGGAGAAATGCCCTACATGTGATGCATGTAGATACAAGTTAAATGATGATGGTGGTAAAAAGATTCCACACAAGGTATTGCGGTACTTTCCTTTGACACTGAGGTTGAAAAGACTGTATATGTCCAAAAAAACTGCCGCAGATATGAGATGGCACAATGAGAAGCGTGTGGATGATGACTTATTAAGGCATTCGGCCGATGGTGAAGCATGGAAGGACTTTGATAAGCAACATCCGACGTTTTTTGATGACTCTCGAAATGTAAGGCTAGGGCTGGCAACAGATGGTTTCAATCCATTTGGAAATATGAGCACATCATATAGCATGTGGCCTGTAATCTTAATGCCTTACAATCTCCCACCGTGGAAGTGTATGGAAGAGCCATTTTGCATGATGTCATTACTTATTCCTGGACGTTCGGCACCTGGAAGAGACATTGATGTTTACTTGCAACCATTAATAGAAGAATTGAAGAATTTGTGGGAGCATGTGTGCAAACATATGATGCATTGAATGGGCAAATTTTTAGAATACATGCGACGGTAATGTGGACCGTAAATGACTTCCCTGCGTATGGTAACATGTCAAGGTGGAGTACAAAGGGTTACTTGGCTTGACCTAATTGTAACAATAATGCATCGTCCCAGGATTTACGAAGTAAAATATGGTATATGGGTGCTCGTCGCTACTTGTTTGAGAACCACACTTGGCGAACAAGTGAGCTCTTCAACAGTCAAACGGAGCATAGGTCCAAACCTTTGGACTTATCAGGGGAACAAATACTAGAGCAAATTGATTCTAGGACTTACAAGCCATATGAAAAGCACCCACAAAATAAAAAACGACAAAGGAATAAAAATCAAAATTTGAATTGGACCAAGAGAAGCATTATGTTTGACTTGACCTATTGGAAAACGTTGAAGCTTCGACACAACCTTGATGTCATGCATATTGAAAAAAATATATGTGACAATGTCATTGGGACACTTTTGAGCGTAGATGGAAAGAACAAGGACACAGACAAAGCACGCTTAGATTTGGAGGACATGAGAATACGTAAAGAGTTACACTTGATGAGGCGTTCTAATGGGTCCTTTGAGAAGCCTTCCGCATTGTACACATTGTTTGTGAAAGAGAGAGAGCTTTTGTGATTTCTTGAAATCAATTAAGTACCCTGATGGCTATGCAGCAAATATCTCAAATTGCGTGACCGCTCAAGCTGGAAAATTATCTGGCCTCAAAAGTCATGATAGTCATGTCCTTATACAACGACTTCGTCCAATTAGGATGCATGGCTACCTTAATAAGGAAATTGGAACGACACTTTTTGAGTTGGGAAATTTCTTCAAACAGTTGTGTTCAAAGACATTGAGGCCTTTAGATTTGGAGAAATTGGATGAACAAATCGTACTCATACTTTGTAAGCTTGAGAAGATTTTCCCGTTGGCTTTCTTTGATATCATGGTCCACTTGGCAATTCACTTGCCTCGAGAGGCTATGCTTGGAGGCCCAGTGCAATATCGATGGATGTACCCAATTGAGAGGTATTAACTCAGCCCTCTTACTAGTGTCAAATTTTAATTAACGCTTTAGTGCTGATATAAAGATTGTAGTATAACATTGTCATCAGGCTTGATCGTTAGGTTGCTTGGCCGTCTAAAAGGGTTTGTGGCCAACAAAGCTCATCTTGAAGGTGCTATTGCCGAGGCTTACATTTCCAAAGAATGTACAATATTTTGTTCAATGTATTTGGATGGAGTTGAAACATTGTTTAACCGCCCATAAAGGAATCATGACATGGGTGACCGTGGCCCAGGGTTGGTGGTATTCACTTAAAATGTCCATCCCTTTGGTCTAATGACAAGGGCGTCCGATGTGTCTGTAGTTGAATGCGAGATGGCTCATTGGTTTATCCTACACAATAGCACAAAAGTGGAAAAACACGTAGAGTATGAATCCTTCAAACGTATTTAGAATGTGTTTATTGTAAATTGATTAGTCTTTATCTTAGTAAATATTTTTGAATCGCATTTCTTGTAACTAAAGAGCACAAGAACTTGTTACAATAAAGAGCCGGTGCATCAACAACGAAAACAGACAACGAAAAGAATTTCTTAAATGGTTCAAAGATCATGTAAGCTAGTATTCTCATATCCTTCAATCAATCGTACATTACGTTAACATTGTGCATGCTTATAACATGACACTTATTCTTCATGTAAATGAATGAATTGCGGAGCCAAGTTTCCCCCGAAGCAACTGATGAGATGTGGTCATTGGCCAATTGTCCTAGTGGCTTAGTGAACACATATTCAGGATGTATTTGTAATGGTGTTTGTTTTCATACTATTGACCGTGACAACCGTCGTAAAAATCAGAATAGTGGATTAGTCGTGGAAAGGGAGCATGAAGGCCAATTGATACATTTCTATAGACACTTGTGCAAAGTGTGGGAAATGAACTATTTGTTCATACGTCGGATTGTATTGTTCCAATGTGAATAGTTTAACACCGGTAGTAGCAGAACTATGCGTGTAGAACCACATTTGACAGCAGTTGATGTAACAAGCCGATGGTACAAAGATGATTCATTTGTATTACCAAGTCAAGTTGAACGAGTATTATATGTTAATGACACCAAATTAGGTACCAATTAGAGAGTCGTAGAAAAGTTTCAACATTGAGGAATTTGGGATGTGCCAGACATGGATGACGTACAACCTGATGATGTGTTCCAACAAGAAGAAACCACTGAGGTCGTACCAACTACGGCTATTGATGATGATGTGGTTTTGCGTCGACATGATATTGAATCTGAAATTATTCCAATGGAAGTTTTGCAATCTGTTAGAGGTGTAGAAGCCAAGGGTGTTACAGATGATGCCTTCATCTGTGATGATGAAGATGGATTAATGAGGAACGGTGACGATCCAAAAGAAGAATATGACCTAAAAAGTGATTTTGATATAGATGTTGATGTAGAATCTTGATGTATTTGCTTTTATGATTGGGATATGATAATGAACCAAAATTAGTTGTCTTATTAATTTGGCAACATCATGTCATAGCTTGTTATTTATTTTTATTGTTTTTGTCTAATTTAGTTCATGTATATCATGCTTTATAATGTAATTAAGCATGTATTAGTTGAGTTATTTCATGCTTTCTAATTTATTTTTGTCTAATTTATTTCATGTATTTCATGCTTTATAATGTATTTTATTTCATGTATATCATGCTTTATAGTGTTACTTGTGTTATTGCAGTTTGAAAAATGGTTCCTGGCTTAAAGACTGGTCGGCTTCGAAAAAAGACACTCACGAGCACAATAACAGACTCGCCGGCTGCTATTCCTTTAGGATCAACAGTCGCTTCATCTCCTGTTGTCCTCGTACGATCAAATGTGAGACCATCTCATCATGCCACTAGCCCACCATTGGTTGATTTTGATGAGACACAAGCCCTATCCGAAATGCAGTTGAGTGGCGTAAATAAGATCAAAGCGTATCAAATTTGTCAATTATCACTTGCCATTATTTACAATTTTCGTATTGTTATTTTGTTAACAGGGACTTCGAAGCCCACACGTGTACGCGGACCGACACTTGGCAAAGGAATACAAAAAATAATTAGAGCCAAGAAAGGGAAAAAATGTTATGTTCACATTGATCGTGCGTTGAATGCAATGACTGGCAAGTATGCCACTCCAGCAACTAACGAGTTAGGAATTCAAATTAGGAGCTTGTGCCCTATGAAAGATGTCAAGTCGTGGCTGGATCTTGATGAGACTACAAAATCAGCCGTCATCCAAGCTGTTCTTGTAATTGATATTACTTGTCCACAAGATACAATTGTATTATGTATACTTATAAGAAAGACTTTCATTTAATGATTGTAATTTCCATGTGTTGTGCTTGTAGGACAAGTTTGAAATTGGAGACGATTTCCACAATGACTTACAAGCACAACAGATTGTGAATAAGAAGGCATATGGGTTGTACAAAGATTGGAGGTACACCTTGAAGCAAGAATTCAAACTGTTAGAGGGACTTCCAAGTGATGAGATCTATGCTCATCCGCCCCTAGGGGTGAGTTTAGATGATTTGAAGTATTTGATCAATGTGGCATGGCAAGATGCATCTCACCAGGTAAAATAATAGACTAGAAAGAGTACATACATCTATGCCAAAATGTGATATGCCTTAATATTTATCAAAAATTTGTTTATCTGCTTGTCTTATTTTTAGAAACGGTCAAAAGCTGGCAAGAGTAACAGGAGTCAATTGCCGTACAATCATACCAATGGGTCTCACTCATTTCCTATCGCAATGGCTGCTATGGTGAGATTGATTTTATTTAAAATTAAATCCATTATATGTTGTTTGGATATGAAAATGCTATGTTATGATTTTTAGGGGCAATTTGGAGTCTATTAGTACTGTTATTAAACTATAAAGAAAAATAAGAAGAGCTATGTTTCCATTTCATGCTTTTTCCTCCCTTTCTAGGTAAGTAGTTGTATTATAACAAAAAATGAAACACATAATAGAGCTCATATACCCAAAAAAAAAAAAAAAAAAAACTTGCCCTTTGAAAATGCATCTTATCTAGAGAAGAGAAGGCATCTCAATCTTTCAGCACTCATAAATACAACACACATCCAATGTATGTTGATTGGAGAAAAAATAGGGATTTTGTGCTCATTAAAATAACACTATGGACAAAATAACCGTTATGTGAAATGTATAAATATATAACATTCTCAGACATTTAAGTAAAATAGTTATGTTTTCAACACCACAGGTTGTTGTTGTTTACAAAAACTCTATCTAGAAATCTGGCTGCAAAAACTCTGTTATTAAACATTTACTGTCTGCAAAAAATCTATCTGAAAAAATTCTATTAATGATACCCTTGCCACTTGTGAAATTTGTCTAAACCAGAATATTGGTGCTCAATGGAAATCTGTCTGCAAAAACTCTGTTTGAATTCGAAATCTGTTTAAACTACAAATCTGTCTGCAAAAACTCTTTTATTATACATAATGTTTGCAAAAAATCTGTATGTAAAAATTTGCTTAAAATCTGCTTAAAGTGTCATTGTTTTATACGTTGATGTGTTAATAGGTAGCAAAAACTGGAGAGTTGGATTTTCCTAAGTTCTATGAGGGCAACCACACTTCCAAGAAAACGAATGACTGGATCCATCCGAAATGCAGTGAGCTGCATGTAAGTATGTAACAATGAAATAATTGTACTCAATATGACTTTACTTAGTACCCAATAATACATATATGTTAGTTAGCTTTTTTGTCTTACTTATTTGCAATGACAGCAATAGATGGTCAATGTACAAGCGGCTGCCATCGAGTTAGGGACGCCATTGACACAGGAGGAGCTTTCAAGGCAAGTGCTTGGACAGAAGAAAAGGTACTTGCTTGGATTTGGGAGTGGCCCATGACCCTCTACCATAGCTGCATCACGAGCACGCGATAAGGACATGAAGGCAATGCAAGTTGAGGTGGAGGCACTTCGTGAGGAGTGACAAAAAGATCATGATGAGTTAATGAAAGAGCGAGAGCAACATGAGAGATGTTACAATGAGATGTTGAAAAAGCGAGAGGAGCGCATTCAATTAGCCAATAAGATGTTGAAAGAGCGGGAGGAGGGACAAAAAGCAAGGGAGGAGACAAATATAAAGGTCGAGTATCTTAATAACGTAGTCGCCAAACTGTCACAACTCTTGAGAATCTAAGTTGGGCATTCGATGTTTGCTTTTTGGTAAGAACAATTTCATTAATGTCATACTTTGTTTAAATATGTTCGCTTTAAGAGTTAAAAATGTCATCAATTTGGGAGTTAGTCTACCTCACAAATTCAATAGGAGTTGTTTAAATATGTTCGCTTTAACTTTTGTTTTTAAGTTTCTGACCTGATTCTTTATACTCATTCCTAGATTTCTATTGGCTAACAACGTTCTTAGTTTGTAGAATGTTGCCTCATTTTTTGGTGCAAAGTGTAGTCTTGTTAGAGGCCACTGTAAATGAATACAAAAAAGAAACTATGAGAACTGCTTTTAGTTAAGGTAGATTATGAGGGAAAAAATAAGACCTATAATTTTGAATGACTCAAATATGTGCTAAAATGCGAAT